GACGTGGAACGCTTGGCCGACTTCTTCGACTTAGGAGGAGGAGAACGTGACAAGTGCAGACGCTTGACGGGACGCTTGCCACCGGCCCCACTCTCGTCCGAACTGGATTCGTGGCCCCGTGCGTTTTTGCCGCCAACTCCGTCGGGTCCGTCGTCCTCGTTCTCGAACTCTTCTTCCTCCGATTCCGCGTCTTCTGTCTCGACCCCTGCCTAAGACGCGGTGAAGGCTCCGTTGGTACGCTCAAACGATGCGTACCCGTCCTGATCGGCTTCATAGGGAATCGAAGGGAGCGATCCTACGTTCCTTGAGCGTCCCATCGCGGAGTTCGCGGGCTATCTTGACCTCCAACTTCTTAAGGCGTGGGCAGTGAGTAAGAGCGTGTCACACGCCGTCTGAGAGATCTCCAACTCAATGAGAAGCGTGCTTGGTCTTGGACTTGACGTCGTGAAGTACCCGAGCCAAGGCGCGATCCGAGAGCTGACTGTCTGCCTTCGCGCTGTTCGGATCCAGGGCGCCAGTGTGGAATAAGAGCTCCGTCATAGTAGCAAAGCCGCCCTCGTCGATGCTGAAAGGCTTCAGAGCGCCCCGGATGCGTCGAACGTAACCTTCTTGGTCGTGCTGATATAGGCGGGTCAAACTGTCGATCACGGGGCCCCGGTACGACTTGGCATCAGGAGTGTTCCGGCCTGGTTGCCCGCCCATCTACATTAAACGGCGCCGGCTCGTGCACCCCTCGAACAGTTCAAGAAAGCCGTAGTAACCCCACGTTTCAATGCAGACACTAAGGAAGCGCACGCGGGCCACGAGAGCCGACATCTTAGCCTTACGGCGCGCGCTGGAGTTCTTGAGAGGCGCATTGAGCTGCCAGTCCCAGAAGCGGGCGCGTTCCTGTTCCAGAAGCGCCAATGCGCTACGTGAACTAGGGGAAAGTCGAAGGGACTGTACCAGAGGACGGACCCTCTCCACGGGAAAGCCAACTGGAACGGCTCCAACCCGAGCGACTCGGCCTCTTGATAGATCTTCTCGAGATCGTGGCGCACCCGCGGGGGAGTCCTGTCGGCGAGTTCGAATGGTAAGTCGAAGGAAGGAGGAGACCGGTCCTTGTGCCCCTGCGAAGATGTGCCATGAGAGCCCTGCGTCTTCTTCTTTCCCGAACCCGGGCTAGCGTTCTGTTGCGCATGGAGCGAGACTCTAGCGAAGCGGCGATCCTGTGGTGGTTTTCCGCGGGCGTGCTGTCGCGAGGGCGAAGGCAAGATCATAACGGGACCAGTCAAGGCATCGCTGGCCTTACCGCTGCCCTGGAGAATAGCCGCCGCTATCTCGTCCAGTATCCCCATCCCCACCGTTCCTTCGTTGATGGCGAGCACGTCACGCATCTCCAGCCAGAAACAGACATCGGCGGCGGAGTCCTGCGGTCGAGGCGTTCCTTCAGACGAGTCGGAGGAATCCTCCTCGACGACCTCACGGAGTTTCTTGTAGCGACCCTTATCGCCGGAGCCGCCCATGCCGCTGGTGCTGGGAGAAGGGTCGTCGGGTGCTGGCGTCTGCGTCGCGGGGAGGCAAATTGCCGAATGAGACGGAAAAGGGGCAGGCTGGTTGCCGCCTCCGTCTTTCTGGCGTTTCTCGAAAACCCCGCCGTTGGGTGTCGACTGCCCTCTCCCAGATGTCGACTGTGACCGATTGATGGGCAGTGATCACGAAGTTGGAGGAACGGTACGCTTCACGGTAGCTACGAGAAAGGCGGAGTCGGACGTGTCTTCTTCTTATTTGTGAAAGTTCATCATAAGGAATGGGGGCTCAAGCAAGCCTTGTCCTGGAATACGCGCGGTGGGAGCTATGGCCGGTATACACCAGCGTGATCGTCGTCTGGGTGTTGACGACTCCCATTAGGAGCGTCAGGTGGGTGTTCCTGACGCAGGTTTGGCGCGTTCTATCCATGAACCTCGAAATCTGTGGAGAGTGTGCCTCTTCTTACCGACACACTCTGCTAGACCGTGAATTCCGCCAGCTACGCGGTTCGGTGTATACTTTCGCGGCGTGGAGCGTTTTCTTTAACGCACCTACCTGGGTCCTACAGGACGGTGATGCGAGATACGGTGCTTATGGGAGGATGCTCCGCAGTTGGTGGATGGCTTGCAAGGTCACCTTCGCCGAGTACCTACCTAACGTGCTCGTGGACACCAAGGACTCCGCGAAGCGTTACTGGAACGCTTCATGGGAAGCCAGCCGGGCTACTCTGCTTCGTTGTTATGGCGTTGGCGAGCTCGTCTGCTGGGTCGCATTGCTGTGCCTGTCGTTGCTGCTGTTCGTACCTATTAACCTCTACGACCTAGTGGAGTTCGTTCTACAAGGACCTATCGGTGTTGCCATCGGACTTATGCTGCTAGTGGCGTACGACTACTGTTACGAATGGACTCGCTGGGATCTGCTAGGACCTCTTATCGTCGTAGTGACCGGTGTGATTTCGCACGCACTGCGTCTGTGCAAAGAGGATAACCCGCTGCTTTCGATGGCTCCCCAGAGTGTGGTCGGTCAAGCTTTGGCTAACACCCAACTGAACGCTTCGAAGCGTAGGCGTGCCGAGGCTCTCTGCTTGGAACGCTTGCGGTACAAGGACGGTATCGAAGTGTTACACGACTTTCAAGCGGCGGAAGAAGATGCCCCTGCTACGGAAGCGTTCCTGGGTAACTCCTATGGAACCGAGCAACCGCCGGACCATCCTATCGACCTTTCGGGTGCGCCAGAAACAATGGCTCGCCTGCGCCGCCAGCATTGGCCATCCGTTCGCCGAGGACGGCAAACTCCAAGTCGGGGAGTATGTCCCGTACCCGGGAATGTAGGTGTCGTGCCAGGCGCTGGCGGGCAGGCTTTTGTGCCAAGGAATCTCGGCGAAGGTCGACGAGCTGCGACGGCGGGCGGCTGGTTCCCGTTGACCCCGCAAGCTCCCGCTCACTTCGCACATGAGACCGGTGAAGTTATGGTGTGATTGTATTGGAACGCTACGACGGAGTAAAGGAACGGTGTGTGAGTTCCCTCCCATCGTCTTACGTGGCTGGGGACAAGGCCGTATGCGCAAGGTGGACCGCGTCTCGGACCTTCCTGTCGCCGCACGAGGACGGATGTCATGGAGAAGGACTCTTTTGATCAAGATAAACTGAAGCGGTGTCGTGTATAGGAATGCGAGTTGGCGGTAGGCCCTCGTTCATTAGTCTCAGTCTTACATTTACTACCTCTTGCCTAAGCTGAGTGAGAGAAAGAAACAAGAAGCTTTTTGATATATTCAGTTATCTTGTGCTACCGTTCCTGCCACTACTCGAGACCGTACTCCCTGAACAGCCGCGGACTACCCGACCCTGGAGGTAGTGTACGACAACGGCCATGGAGGATCAACAAGTTGTAAAAAAAAACGCCAGATTTGGTGAGGTTGCTCTCCACAAACAGCAGCACCTTAATTCGAAAGAGTGACTTATTGGTGGGTGTCGAAGGGGTGTATTTCTTACGTCGTTTGCATTTTCTGGATGTCGAGGTGTAAATCTTCGTAGTCGTTAGTGCACCCTAAACTTTTTTCATAAAAAGTACCGAAAAAGGGGGCAACAATATTTTCTCAAAATTTAGGTTTTGTGAAAAATTCCACGAGAAATATATTCCCAAATAAATTACCATCGAGTACCGTTACTCTCAGATAATTCCGAGTCCGATAGCCAGTGGTTTTGTTGCGATCATTTAAAAATCTACGTACGAGTTCTTTAGCGCTCGCCTGTGCCGTGCTAAAGATGACGAGAGCGAGGGCACGCCCGGCGTCACTGTGCTGGACGTTTGTTCCTCCTCTGGTAACGATGACAGTGACGAAGACCTCGACTACGCAAGCGATTCAAGTGAGGCGCTAGATGCATACTCCACGAGATAGGTAAAGTTACACTACATTTTTACGTATAACTCTCCATTTTAATAAGTATATGAATTCCCTTCTCACGTGTCTTTAAGACGCGCCACTTTCACGACGAGATCTGTCGCAAATGCAGAATCAACACGACGGCCATCGTATTTTTTTTATGTTGTCTCTGGAGTTCTACGCAACGGATTGCTGAACGACGCCATGATTGATTTCGGAATCAGAATGATTGCAGAACGTGTGGACGGCTGCATCGTATTTTCTTCGTTGACATTGGCTACTGGGTGGCCTGAACCACCAAGATAGTGATTATCAGAGACACCTTAAAGTAAATATGCCCATTAATTTAAGCTCGAACCGCTGGGGGGCCATTATTGTGGAGATCGCGTTTCCGACAACACTGAAGGTGTATTTTTATAAGCCGCTACACCAGGAGTGCTAACAAAAAGAACTGGAAGATGCATGGAAATTTAATTTGTTGCCATACCTGGAGAAATGGCACAGTGCCTGCGGTGCAAATAAGCTTTTTCCTAAAGAAATTATTGCGAAGTTAATCGCCAAGCCCTCACAACCTGATTTAAAAAGCTGTAGAGTAATGGTCCTGGGCATTGTGTACGCACACTTGCGCAACACCCATCGATTTGAACGCCGTCGGTTGACAGAAGCTTATGTAAGCGTGATGCGGCTTAGACTAGCCTGGTTGTTGCTGTGCACGACGAAGCTGGTGCCACACAGTGAGAAGAATTTGACGGAAATGCAGAAGACGGACCAATAGGTTAGTAAGATGCTGCTTCCACATTAATCTTGTAGCCATTCGTGGTTTTGCTAAACAATATATATTATATCACTTTCCCTTTCCTACTTGTGCTTTCTTCTTAACGCAATGTGTTAATATGTTTCTTTATCTCCGACAAGATTGACAATGGTGATACTTCGCCTCAATTTTTTAAAATACGGTTATTTATTCTTAACGATAAGGGCGCCCAAGGCTTTAGGGCGCCCTAACGCTTGCAGTTAAGGGCGCCCAAGTGGCTTAAAGGTGCTCCAAGCCTGTCGTGTTGTTGTAGTTAAGGGTGCACTAACGCCATTCGTAAATCTTCGAATACACCGGACGTCGACAGAGCACATCAGCATTTAGACATAAAAGCACCATACCGGTGAGATTGCATCTCGGAAGGTGCCCATCCAAGCAACGATGGTGGGCAATGGTAATGTGATCTGGGAGCGCTTCGAGGAGCAGACGAAGTTGGATTTCGTGGGGGATCCCCTAAACTCGCGCTTCTTCCTCAAGACGCGTGCGACGGCCAAGAAGGACGTGAAGGTGGTGGCGCGGGTGTCGCGGGTGTCGCACCACGTTGCCAACGCTTCACCTCGTAGTGTCGCCGGACGCGTTGGGGTGGTCAAATACACCACGACGGACACGACGAACCTGTTCCGACTAACGAGGCTACTGCGCTTCGTATTGTAAGAGGTGCTTGGGCCCATGAAGACGCTGCCGCCGTCGACGACGCCATTGTCGCCCACCCAGAACTACCCCGATGCACCGGTACTCGCAAGCCAAACGGACAAGAAGAAAAAGAAGGGGAAGAAGTAAAGATGTAGTTGACTCAGTAAGGCTAGAAGAGAGCTTTTAACTTGCAATACAGTCGGCCGATCAGTGGTTTCATAATAAATCACTGATGTACACGGCTGTCTTGATACCGCATGTGTAGCCTTCGTTAAACTTGTAGTGCACCCTGGAGTGCTTGTGCGCATCGTTTGTGCGCTGTAGCTTGAGCTTTGCGTTCAACTCCTCGTCGCGTTTTCGTTTGGCCTCGCGGTGAGCGAATGCGAAGGGGTTACGCTTACGCAGAGCCTCGTCCTTCTTCACCAGCTCCACATCTGCAGTTCACACAGCCATTGAGTGAATAAGATGTAGATCTCTGCAACCGACTCAAACACTTACCGCTGAGCTCAGGCAGAACGTAGGCGGCCTTTGCAGCCTTCTCTTCGATGGTAGCTTCGCTGGATTTGTCGACTGCCACTGCAGGCGACTTACTGTTGTTTTGCTTAACGGACGGAGACGATTTTTCATTCCGACGCATCTGCTCCAGCTCCACCTCGCGAGCTATCATCTTCCGCACCGATATCGGAAGCATGTATTGATACGGTGTGCCACCTTCTCTACTTCGGAACTCCACCAGTTCATTCAGCGCCCTGTCCAGACACGACAACAGCGTGATAAGAAAAAAAAGTGAAATAACCAAATGCTTCACCAAAAAAAGAAAACGTACGGCTCGAGTGCGTAGTCTTCGCTTCCATCTGGTCGATATTTGTGACGGAATGACAGTCCCAGTGACGCCATCAACTGAATAAGTCGCTGAATCATCAGTTTCTCTTCCTTAGTCTGAAGCGACGGGTTGATACGGCGGATGTTGGGAGATAAGCTCGCAACCAGCCACGGGACCACATCCACGACAAGGACGCTGGGGCTCATGCGTAAGAGTGGCTGCAACTGCGCTCCCTCTGTCAGTGCTGTCAGGATATTTTCAGAGCGATCCCGTCGTTTTTGAGCCTCAAACTGCCCACGCGGATACTCCACACGACGTCTAGAGCTTGTGCAACACGATGCGTGCGTTGCAATGGCGGCAAATGGAATGTAAGCCTGAAAAGCGTACTGTTGCTCAGAGCGAGCGCGATATTCGTACTCAGCTGCCAGTCCAAGCCACTCGAAGACGTCGCAGATCTTGTTCATAGTAGGGTCATTGAAGATCATCTTGGGCACGTTCTCATCCAAACCGCTAATCAATAGAGGAAAGTTTCCCAGCGACGCAACTGCTTCATCAATCTTCTCCGCCACAGGGACTTCTCTTTTAGCCGAATTTGAGCGCGTCTCGTAAAAAACGAGGTCCAGCACCTCAAACATGCCGTGGGCATGGTCTTTTTGAGCAACGAGTCCAGTACTCAACGTCGCCACTCCAGTTTTGCCACGTGACTGGGTAGTCTGAAACTGTAGCGTATTCAGACAATAGCGGATATCGTTGTCAGCGCTTGAGCACAGAGTCGCTAGTGCCCCTGTAGAAGCCCTGATGCCTTCGTGTCGGCAAATACACTTCAGACGTGTAACGAGACGTTGTGAGTGTGGTGCGTCCAGCGTAAAGATCTTTGCCATTTGACGTAGGGGGCGCAACACGGATGCGTACAGGTCATTACAGATGCAAATCAGTGGGCGAGTTAGCGGGTGGCGATTTTTGGCCGCGGTCTTCGCTCCTGCTTTTTTCCTTTCCAATGGAGCATTGACGATCTCTTGAATAACTTCAATCCCAGATTTTCCGTCACTACCATTCATGGCGCCATCGATTTCGTCCAGAATGATGCAGTTTGGTTTGCGTTCACCCCAAATGGACTGCATTTCCATTGCGCTAATGATCTTGTTACGCAGCACAGGTGCCGTACGGTCATCGCTAGCATTTACTTCGATGGGATTGTAGCCCGCGTGACGTGCAACTATGTTGGCCAACGTCGTTTTACCCGCCCCAGGTGGACCGCAGATGAGGATGATCTTGTTGAATGGACGTTTATCTTCGTCATCCTCCCCAGCGATGCTATTAGCATAGTTCTGCGAGAGGGATTGGGACCACGGAGACTTATGAAGGGCGCCAAAACCACTTGTCTTGGCAGGGGTTGCTGAGTGGGCGCCGATAGCTCGCTTCTTCTTCGGAAACACGAATCGATCCCACGACTTGATCCAAGACAACACCTCACGGTTGGTTCGCTCGTCGCTTAATAGATCCAAGAAACTTTGTGGCCTGAATTTGTCTAACCACAGCACTGTGTTTGACGCGTGGGGTTCTTTCTTGTCATCTGACCCAAGCTCCCGCAGCATTGCCTTGTCCTCCTTCGCAGCTGCTTCGTTAATCTCCATCTGATGAACACAAAATCATAGACATCGTAAGATATGTCTATTCAACCATAGGCGCAGCTACTTTCTGAGCCAGCGTACCCGTTCGACTGTTTCCATCAATTCTCTGATGGGGATGAGTGACGCAGCCGCACTACGAACAGAGCTGGAGGTGAAATGCTTGGAGCTGGGGCGCTTTTTGCGTAGGAACAACCGCTTACCATCATCCAACACCACGGGAAGCGAGTCCACGTCAATAGGCGGTCGGCTGTACAGATACTCAGCTGTCATTATGTCAACTTTCGCAGCAGCGGACTGCTTCTCCTTTGGCTGTATGGCGGTCTCCATGTTCACGTCGTCATCTGCATCCTCATCCAACAGTGTCGCACATCGAGCCAGTACTTGGCCCAATCGTCTTTGCGCCTTCTCCAGGTCATCATCTACACCTCCTACAGCGTCATCACTGGTCGGAGGTAACACTGCTGCTTCAGGCTGCTGCAATTTGATCTCCGTTGCCTGCCGCCGCTCGAAGGCCTCCATGGCGCGCATCTCTTCCTCCATGGCCTCCATCTCCTGTGCGTGCATCACCTCCCACTCGTCCATCTCCTCGAACTCCTGCTCGTACGCGTAGACATCCGCGTCCGTCATGTTGCTCCTTCAATTCTCCTCAGAGCTTCTCGCGGCAATGACGTTGTGAAGAAGCGCGAAGACTCTGATTGGTCAGTTTATTCTAGTGAGCGTGAAGACAATGTCTGTGATTCATTCAATCAGATGTGAGCAAGGAAACGAATTCGTAAAAACCCTAAAAGCGTAATTACGGGGTTTTACGGGTACATTGACGGTGGCCAGTCGATTGGCGAGCTAGCTCGGACGTTTGATTATCCTGTCATTCGTCAACTTGCAAGGATCGACAACGTTTCTGCCGACTTTTTACCAGGTTCTCAAGTGATTACACAATCAGATGACGAGTCTGAGGACGACGAGTGTTTCATTGTATTGCGTTCTGCCGTGCTCCGAGACGTCTCAGACTCCCAATGTGAAGAATATTCGAGGCATTTGTATGATGAGACCAACTAGCTTGGAAATTGCTCGTTTATAGTTGACTGCTGATGATGATCAAAAATATTTGCTACTCTTGACATGCCTTCGGGTATAGTGACGACATATTTTTATCACCAAGATCACTGAGACGGCCTTAACCAATACGCTAATACTATTGTATGTACATGTATCTTACCGACGAAAGGCAATGACGACTGCAATAGGGACATCTGAGATGCAGTGGGGATGTTGTGTCCTCGCCGCCTGAAGAAAGTTTATAGTGGAATCTCATTACCCGAGCCTTTCTGCCTTTCGAGTTTGCTTGTGTTTGTGTCGGTAGCAACCAAAGTGTCAAATTCTCGCTGCTCTCTCCGTGAGCAGTAGAAGCCGAATCTTTAAGACACTAATCGCGTGGTGACGCAATGGGCGTGCAGGTGCTTCTCACAGGAAGAAGGCGGCAGCAGAAAAGTTGTTGAGCAGGCTACGTCTTTGTGTACATACTACACTACGTAGTTCTACAGAACGTAGTACTACTACTGAAGTTAAGCTGTAGTAGTATACTACTACTACTGTAGTTAATCTGTAGTACTACTACTAGAACTACCTTGAAGTAGTAGTAATGTGTGGATCCAACTACAGTACTGTAGTACTACTAGTTTTACTTAAGTATTGCTTCTGAAGTTCTACTACTATGTTTTGCACACAGTACTACGGAAGTCCTAGCCTGGTCAAGTTTCATATCCCTCTATCCCTCTAAATATGATTACCGTACACGACTTGCACAGGATTACACATTGCTTGATTTTTCCCGGCCACTGCCCTAGATCCCCTACCACTCAAGCGATCAACGCAAAAGAAACCACCCCAACATGAGCGACAGAGTGTGGTAGAACAAGGAGAGCGCGGCGAGCCTACGAGAAGATAAAAGACCCTCTCAATTAAGGGAGGGAGAAGTGGTCTCTCCCCGTCAACACGCCCGCTTTTAAGAAAGCTCTAAATTTAAAAATAAAAATTTCCATTTTTCATGAAACCTGCTGTCTACATATCAATTACAGTACTGCACCCCGTTTTCGCGGAGGTGGTCCATATAGGATTTGCAAATAAATCAGACTTAAGCGTACAAATCGTTCATTTGTAAATAGAATCATCACATCTGATAGTTTATCAAAGGTCTAAGGGCGCGAAAACGGGGGAGTATGTATCGCGGATTCCAGCTTACATTTGATTGGCTGAATCTCCAACATTCACTTCCTGACGGATACTGAATGCTTGACGTATCCACATCCTGAATTCGCGATGAGCAGGAGGGAGCAACAGCTCGAAGCTGAGTGCGAAGATCTGCGCAGGTGACAATTAAGTGAACTGCTAGAAATAAATGTTCAATAACTTGAAGCTGGGTCTGTTGTTGTTGCTACTAGTGAGCTTCGGGTGATGGAAGAGCTGGTGCAACGGTACCAAGACGAGCTGATGGCTGCTCGTTGTATTCGCCACAATCCCAGGAACGCTCTAGACATGCACCGTGTCGAGGAGGAGCTGTTCGAAAACCAGAACCTGACCCAAAGGGGCTCTGCCATGCGCATCTCCAGGGCGGAGTTGCCTGTATTGTGTCGAGCCAGCGGCAAGGAAACTCGGTTTAGCGAGGTAATGGTACAGTAGCATCTGGTTGGCAGCGTTGACTGAGGTGAATTGTACTGTGTATGGACAGGTGAGGCCGCCGTCGCAAAACTGGGAGTGGGTGTCCGACTGGCACTGCGATGTCCACGCTCAGACAGACAAGAGCGGTTGGATATACGCGGAGTCGTGGGAGCAGCTGCGAGATATTAACCAACTACATCACAGGTAATGATGCATGTGCCCAGTCGAATGAAGGTGTACAGTAGTATACAATAGTGCGTGGAACTGATGAACTCGCATTTCGGCAGTGAGCAGATCATGAATGCACGAGTGCGACAGCGCCGGTGGATACGGGAGCGCATGCTTGTTCGGTCTACTGGATTACCCGCAACATTAAACAAGAGTCTGCTGACGAAAAGCAGGCTAACTGCTATGGTGCGTCGATTGAATCAAGCTTCGCTGATTGTTGATCGATTTGAACAACTACGTTTATACGGATAGCGCTATGCCAACGAGAAGCTGACGCAACAGGTACTGGTGGTTGTTACATTGGTTATTAGCACTGAACATTCTGTCGTGAAGTCTAACAAAAGCTCGTAACGCAGCTACTTCGTGCAAACGGGCGTATTGAGGAGCTAGAGAAGCGAGACAAAATCTATGAAGCGCACATGCTCAAGCTTCAGGAAGTGGCAGAAGAGCTGTCCAACGACCTGCACACACGATCGTTCGTTTTGCACGACCCCGTAGCTGTGCCATACACTGTTTCCAATAGCGCTGAAGTGCTAAAGCAGACCGAGGCCATTCTGGGAGATATGCTCCTTGAGCAGGGGCTCGCGCGTTTTGACACACTGGGTGCCTTCCATAAATAGCATAAGCACGTGTCATATTTGCAGCAGATAAGCCTGTCATACTTTACATGTATGCTGAGCTTAAGTATCAAAACGTCCATCACAAATACCGTAAATGAGCATATCTCAAAGACCTCTGTCCTGTTTATATGTCGCTACCTAGATCTTACACAGACCGAACTCATTATATGGAAGCGTACCCGACACTTCGAGTGGGACACAGGCAGGGTGAAGCTCTTCTTGTACGTCACTTCGCAATTTACGCACGTCCGGGAAAGCATGGAGAGCGAAGACACGGAAGCAATGCTTGTTGTGGCGGAGGCCATCGACCGGGAGAGGCAGGAGCTGCACGAAGTGCGCCGAGAGGTCTTCGGCCTCTAATCGAGGAGGCCTGGCGCGCCGCCATGCGCAGCCGCCACTATTTGACCGGGTATTGCTTGAATTCCCCGAGCAACGCGTCCTGGATGGCTCTATACGAGAACGGGAGTGATCTAAACTTTCTTAACGCCACCAGTTTAACGAGGTCGCCTATTATTGTTCGTCTGGATGCTGTTCTTGACTTGGATGCTGACAGTACATGTACCAACAGGTCCTCTTTCTCTCAGCTCTTACAGCGTTTTTCACGGTTCTACAGCTTACCGGGGCCAAGAGTACGTGGACGGCCGCCAAAGTTCCGTAACCTCCAACAGGTGTTGGGCTTAGTATTAGTGTTCTACACTAGCTCGATGGAGCAAACGACGCTCTGTATGCTCTTTGGAGCTCCTCCCAGCACGCTATCGAGGACACTTCGGAAGGCGGAGGAGTCGTTGAACAAGGCGCTACATGGTTTCGCTCCTGCGCGCATATCCTGGCCATCACCAGGCCATCAAGTCAAGCTGTCGAGGCTGGTAGAAGCCCGCGAACCCCTTCATCACCACACGTTCGGGTTTATCGACGGTAAAAACCTACGAGTGCGTACATGTTTGCATTTGCAAAGTGTATTAATTCAAATATCTTACCAATGCTATCAAAGTAGGTGCAGCAACCATCCAACGCTGATCTACAGAACGCGATGTACAACGGGTGGCTGCATACAGTATTTGTTACGGGGACCATTTGTTTCGCGGCTGATGGCTGTATAATCTGGTGCAAGCACAACTGTCTCGGGTCCTGGAACGACTCGGACACCTCCATGGAATTTCGGTCGAAGCTCCTGGACCCGGTGTTGTGCCCAGATGCGAGAAAGAATGTCGTGTCCGATTCTGCCTTTCCGTGCTCTACAGCGATGGTCGGACGCATTTTAACGCCGCTGAAGGACGGCGACTTAAAGCGGATTCACCCTGCCCTGCGCAGTCAAGCACGCACCCTTCATAATGCTATAACTTCAGTGCGTCAAGCAGCCGAATGGGGCATGGGGAGTATACAGAAGGTATACTCCCGGCTTAACTTGCCGCTCCCCTACGATCCACAGCTTCGCGGTATGAGGCTGGACAATTTGTTTCGCCTTACCAACTACCGGGTGAGGACTGTCGGGATCTCGCAAATACGTACGACTTTCTCGGGTGTTATGGATGAAGGGGTAGCTTTGTAAGGCCGAATTGTTTAGTTTACTTTGAGCATGATTGGCATCTAGACTGAGATCTGCTTCTTAGTAAACCTTCTCAAGCTTTTGAGTTATGTTTCGTTTCGATACGCGACCATGCTAGTAATTTGACATCCAAAAGTATTTTTTTAATGCATTGTAGAGATCCTACAGGTAAGAACGACGTCACTTCGAAGGTGTCGGACTTTTGCCGCCTTCTTTGGTTTCCGATGGCCCTTAGGGCTTCTTGTTGATGCTCGCGATGAGCAAGATGAGCTCCTGCGTGCGAGCTATGGCTTCTTCCTTGTCACGGCGAGCTCGTTCGTCCATCTCGATCTTGTCTTGACGACGGCGCTTGTGACGGGGTCACACAGCACCTTGCGCTAGAGGAAGTTATCTTCCGAGAGTATACAAACTCTCAGTGAACGGCAGTTCACAGGTCCCCTCTTTAATTAAAGAGAGCGAAGTGACCTAAATAAGGTAGATTGTAAACTGAGTATATTTATAGGTAGGTTAAGTTTGAGGTTAATACAAACTATCAGTTACCTATAGTAATGCAATGTCATTTAACCAATGGTTGGTTTTGAATGACCTTGGTACCTTGTACCAAATATCCCGGAGTATGACATGTCATACTCCTGAAGTGTGAAGTGTCACACTTCATGTAACCAGGGTACACTTAGTGCTACGTACCCCGTTACATCCTCCCCCACTTAGGTTCGGTTTACCGACCAATCAGAATGAAGAGATGTTCGTCACAAACTCTCATTCTCAAAGTCGAAAACCATCGACTCGGCCGCGCGAGCGCGGCGGAGGCTCACTTTACAGTTAGAGCCTCGAGCAGCAACCTGTGCGCTCTATCGTCAAGGTCTCCACTTCGACCGTTAACATGCCTCGTGGAACGGTAAGAACGGTTGACTACAACGATGTCGAGTGTTGATTTCCGAGAAGTGTGCGAG